AGGAGGGAAAAAAAAAAAAAAAAAAAAAAAAAAAAAAAAAAAAAAAAAAAAGACTTTAGTAAGGGCTGATGCTTCTGGGATTAAAGGAGCAAAAAGATGCTGAACATTTTGGATTGAGTTGGAGAACATCTAGTAACTTGAATCCAGAAGCACAGGAATCCTAAGTGGGACAGGATCTAGCTAGTGCAGCCACCTCTGCCCACCTTCAAGAGCAGGTGCCAGAGCCCACTGAGATCAGAATGATTTGGTCCTTTTGGAGGAGCAATCCTAACTAGGCATGGCTTCCTAAGAGGCTTAAAGGGCTGAGCTGAGTTGACAAATGTTTCTCTGCATTAGGCACTAGGTAGAGGCCTCATTTCTGGGAGCTATATAGTCCTCTAGCCCCCTGCCCCAGTGTTCTGGGTACTGAATTGATCTGGGGAAGGGACAGAAATCCCTTACCTGTCACTTTGCAGGTGTGGTCATCTGGTTCCAGCAGGTAGCCAGGGTGGCAGGCACAGCTGTAGGTGCCATTACTATTGACACAGGTCTGGCTACAAGGGTCATGCCTTAGCTCTTGGCACTCATTGATGTCTCTACAGGAGAGGCCATCATCATGCAGTTCAAATCCCTTGTGACAAGTGCATCTCTGAAACAGGAGCAGCTCATCAGCCTACTTCACCTTCAGCCAGCACAAGACTTCAGTACACTAGTCATCCAGGGCTTGTTTTGGACCAAGTGAGGTTCAAAGCTAGGTCAAATGAGTGAGTGAGTAAGAGGGGCATTTGGACAGCCTCAAAAATGGAAGAATAAGAGGCATGCTTGTAGCAAAACAGGATGGCTTTACTTCCCTGCTACAGACAAGGAACCAAGTCAGCTCTGTCCATTCTACTGCCCACTTCACTCCTGGAGTTTACTGCCCCTCAGGTTCAGCAAGAACTTGGCTGACTGTTCAAAGTTCGGAGAGCACAGTTCCTCAGTTGAGGCAGGAGGAATTGGCTACTTAAAGTGCTCTATTCTCTGCTCTAGCTTGAGGGAGAGAGGGCATGAAAGAGGGAAGTAGGGCATCCTTAGTTTGGTGCAACAGGTGCAGGTAGGGCCTAGGGGAGTGGGCTTCTACTCCCTGAAAAATAGTGGAAGCAAGGTATGGCAGACCTCATAGCAAGTGCCAGAGAAGTAGTTCCATAAAGCTACTGGCAGGTAGAACACTAGCCAAGATCTGCCTCCAGAAATATCTGGGGGCATAAGCCTTTTGGGAATTAGACTTGGACTGGTGTCACTTACAGGCCACATCTTGCTGGTTCAGTCTTGGAAAGCAGCTACAGATTAGTACTCCCTTAAAGTGTACTATATAGACAGGCAGGTAATGGGCAATGATATAAAAACAAGGAAAGAACCCCAAAATACACCAAAATGCCAGGTAGGTGGGTGAGCTGGCTCCTTCTTAAAGCAGTCACCTGCATTCACTTAAATTTGGCACACCTTTACAGGTAAGCCAAGCAGGATCACTCATCTGCTGGCTGAGAACCAAGCCATTAAAAAAAAAATGGACTAAAGTACTGGAAATACAAAAAGGTGGGTTTTGGTTTGTTTGGGTTTTTTTTGGGGGGTGTTGGGTTGGGTTAAGAAGCTTCCCTTTTACTCACAGGTCCTCCAGGTGACTGGTAGCAGATTTGAGAGCATGGCTTCTGACATGGCAGAACACACTTATCACCTTCATCTGACCCATCTGTGCAGTCTCTCTTGCCATTACAGACCAGGGTGTGGTTGAGGCAAACACTTGTCTTGCACTGGAACTCCATACTTGAGCACTTTGCAGGCTGACCTGTGGACAGAATTGTGTTTATGGACTGCCCCACATGGGATGGGGGATAGACAGGTCTGTTGCAGTATAGCAGCAACAGTGGTGGCAGTCACCCAAGTTTGTAAGAGTTCAGGTTTACCCCATCATTGAGTAGTTCTCAATTCTTTATTTATTGACTAAAAGTGTCAACATCCTGTTTTCCCTCCCCACAATAGGAAGTAGGAGTTCTGTTCTGCCAGAAGCTTGTATTCTTTGTGGGTAAGGGTTTCCAGACCAGGTAAGAGTGAGAGCCAAGGCCTATGATCTACCATATTAAAGAGCCAAGCTCTGCTTCCTTTGAAGTAGTTCTGCAAAACTTGGGTGGGAGCAGCTACCTTAGTAATGCAAGCAAAGAATGCTAGTTTTAGCCAAGCACTGTAGAGATTAGCTCTGCACCAAGTTTGTTACAGGTGCAATTTTAGTGCAGTTTATTTTATAGTACAAAAAGCCATAACCCCCCCCCCCAAACTTAGGCCCAGTCACTGCAGTATTTGTGTTGTTCTCATTTGGATTTTGGGAAGTCTCCTACTGTTTTTGACTAGATCACAGCTGCAGTAGACAAGTCTATTAGAGAAGAGGAACATTTAGGCATAAGTTGAAGATATAGTAAGCCTAAATTAAAGAAGTTTTGTACCATCTGTGTGCAAGACCTAGACCTGAAAAATTACTTTTTCTACAAGCTCAAGGAGGATAGTCTTAGAATTGCACTAGAGGAAGCTTAAGAGCTTGCTTACATCCAGTTTCACCACTTCCATCTTTGCAGTCTCTCTCCCCATCACAACGCCAGACATCTGGAACACACTCCTTGAAACTAGTGCAGGACCACTGCTTTGAACTACATTCAGGTTTCTCATGCTCACAGTCCTGTGGATAAAAGAATAGCTTTGTTATAGTACCTTGGATGCATGCTACAATGGATTGATGTCTTTCGTTACCCAAGTGCTCCTGGCAAGAGTACTATGTTGCAGCATAGCCATTGAGAACGAACCTAAAAACTGGAGGCATGAGGAGACCTGCTACTCCATGGACAAGAAGTGGAGCACAGCATTTGATGTTAAGTTCCAACAGATCTCAGAGCTTGTCATTTGACATTTGTTTGCTCCTCAGCTGCTACAAGCTACTTTTTAGAGCTCAGAAAGGACATGAGGGTGTTAGTTCACTATCCAGTATGCCTCAGAACTGGCATAACCAGAACAGACTCCACTTACTGGCCAGTGGGTTCTCTAGGATTCACTTTAGAATCCAGTTTGAGCTGTAAGTCCTGCAAGTTACTATTTTCCACACCTGCTCATCTGATCCATCTTTGCAGTCTATGTCATCATCACATATCCATTCTTTCAGGACACACTCGCCACTTCTGGGACACATAACTTCTCCTGATCGGCATAGCAGTGGCTTGGGGACTGCACAGTCTTCTTCATCAGAGTGGTCCTTACAATCATAGTCCCCATCACAGCGCATGGAGTAAGAGATGCACTGGCCACTCCTGCACTGGAATTCCATCTTGCTGCACTCTTCATGAACTGGAGGAGAAGAAGAAAGCCTGTGCTTAAAGATGATGGGAAACACAGCCAAAGTCATTTTTACAATGAAGTTTTGGTATGCTGAAGTGGCAGCATTAAAGAAAGAGTGCCTCCAGCAAGCCATTTAGGGAAGGGCATATGGGCAGGTTATAATTCTAGTTTAAGAGCAGTATTGTTGCTAGCTTACTCATCCAGCATTATGATGGATAGATCCCATGCCTGGATTCTCCAACCATGCTTACTGCTCAGAAGCAGCTTTGCTTCTTGTCTGTCATTCAGCCTAGGGTAGTGTAAGAAGTAGTGTTCCTGCTTGAAGCCATTAATTTTGAAAGTTTAAAAAAGGGACCCCCACCCATGCCACAAAATAGAGGTGGAAGACTTGAGCTTAAGCTCTTCACTGCTTGTTGGCTACTGGAGAGAATCCCTTCTTCCCAGAGGAATTCATACCCCTGGGACAGTTGAAAGACACTTTTTAAAAGTTAAATTAAGAATTAAAAGGTCATACTCAACCACCCCTCAGTACATGGGCTAAACAAACCCAAGTCTACTTATACTGGTCTTACCACATCCCTGCTCATCTGCTTGATCAAGACAGTCTGGGTTGCCATCACACAGCCAGCTCTCTGGGACACAGCGTATGTTGTCATCACAATGCAGAGCACATTCTTGTGTGGGCTTCCAGCAGTTTAACTCATCTGAACCATCAGGACACTGTTGTACACCATCACAGCGCTCGCTCTCCTCAATGCATTTGTTCCCACTCAGACACTTGAAGAGTCCTAGAATAGATGCAGTACTGTCAGGCTGCTTTCACTTTTTTAAAAAAAAAAAAAGGAGAGGTGGTGCCAAAAACAGGCCATGAAGTCCTATTCAGGAGTGACCTTATTTAGCAAGCACTGAAATCTGATGCTGTGGGAGGAGGGGTTGGAGGTTTCTTCCCAGGAAAGACTGGATTCTTGATGGGCATGCAGGCCCCACAGTTCCATAGTTACTCAGAACCTACAAGTGCTGTAGTAGCAGAGCAGGTGGCAAGATGCTATGCACATAGGAAGTTAACCCCTGTGAGCAGGGGCATGCAAAAAAAAAAAAGTTCCTCTTGCTTGTTAAGAGCCATTGGATTCTCTATACACCCAGCTAGAGATGGTAGGTTACTAGTTGGTTGGGTCACAAGTAAGCCAGACAAGGTGAGTTTATGGCCCATGTCTGGAGCCATTTCCTGCAGATTTGCTCTTTGTCTGGCCACTAGCTTTAAAACAAAGAAATGCTGGCAGTTTTCTAGGTTTAGTTCTGGCTATTGGAGACCAATAGCAAGATGTTAGTGTTTAAACTAATAAGCTGAAAGGATTCAAGGGACAAGCCTTGTTTGTAGTTTCACATGCTTCCAAGAATTTTTTTTGCCTATCACACTAGGAAGTAGTCTTATTTTGACTATGCCTGGAATAAGGTTTCTTTTGCAAGGATGTTGAGGCTTAGGCCATTAATCTCCCTGCCTTGACTGAATTAGTAGTGCTCGAGTACCCAACATTTAATAAACATGTGTATACAATACCTGGAGAATTACAGAACTGAGAACAGTCTTCTTCATCAGAGCCATCCTGACAGTCCCTCTCTCCATCACACCAATACTCATTTGGTATGCACTCTTTCCCATCTTGGCAGGGTACAAGGGTCCGAGGACAAGACAAAAGGGTTAATGCAACTGAAGTGGTTGTTGACTTTGTTGTGGTAGCTGCTGTGCTCTTTTTGGTAGTAGTTACTGTTGTCTTCAAAGTCACCGGTGCAAGTGTTACTTTGACAGCTGGCTTTGGAGAAGAAGTCACCGGTGCAAGTGTTACTTTGACAGCTGGCTTTGGAGAAGAAGTCACCGGTGCAAGTGTTACTTTGACAGCTGGCTTTGGAGAAGAAGTCACCGGTGCAAGTGTTACTTTGACAGCTGGCTTTGGAGAAGAAGTCACCAGCTCTGGTGCTTTAAAAAAAAAAGTAGAATAAAAAACAGAGTAGTTGTACAGCTTGTACTAGAAGTGACACTGAAACATCAGCAGTCTGTAGATTACCTCACTTAATCCCCATTCCCTTCTCATTTTTAGAGACTAAGACAGCCCCCCCCATCCAGAGCTTAAAAGCAGGTAGATCAACATATTATAGGCAACAGCTAAGTTGAGAAGCCCAAGGTATTTGCTCTAGTACTGGCATAAGTGAGACCCTTCTAGTTCACCAGCACCTGACTAAACTAGACTAAGTTAGAGACCTCTAGGAGGCTCAAAAGTTAAGTGTTGCCAGAAAGCCAGATGCCCATGATTAGCATTTCTGTGAGCCAGCTAAGCACTTTACTGGTCAGCTAGCAGTGTCCCACCTGCCAAGCCTCACTTGATGCACATGGTACTTTAAGCATTTCAGAGTGTGGCAATTGTGCCCCTGGCTAGAGTCCTCCATGTAAGGTTCCCCTGAATATACTCTAGACAGGCAGCAGTAGACTTTAGCTTGGAGGTGCTACCCTTTCCTCCACTTCAACTCAGAGGGACTCATCCCTCTGCCTACAGCCAAGTTCCTGGCCCTAGTGACAGGGATATTAGGTTGCCTTGATCCTGGAAAAGGTCTGAATAGCAACTTCAAGACTTATGTAGCCTGTCTTAAAATAAGTCCCTTCCCCTCCCAAGTTGTATATTATTAATTAGACAGCTTTGGTAATGAAGATACCTCTTGAACAGGGCAGAGGTCTGGGGAAAACTACATGGGGTACCCATACTCAAGTCAGAAAGACCTGGCTTTGAAGCTTAGCCAGCACTAAGCATACATTAAGAACAACTATTGTAGAGTAATGGAGGGTTTACCAGTCTTCACTTCTGTGGCCAAGAACACAAGTACTTCCTTTATGTCAGCTTCCTCCATGCTGGTTAGGACCTCCATCTTCCTTCTGTCCCAGAGCAGAAGAACAGTTTTGTTGACTGACACCAGGTAGGGTTCATAAGCAGCTACTATCCCATGCAGCCAGCTTTTCTTCAGTGTGTCCACTTTATTCTTAGCAAGGCTCAGAACCTGTAGACCTGTAAGAGAACAATAAGGCTCTTGCATGAGCATGTCATGTAGAGAAGTATTCAATCCTGTATGCCTGGATACCAGGGAAGTCTTCTGTTTGACAACCCTTCCAACCCCATTAGAGCAGGAATAGCCCTGGTTTCTTACAGGTTGTGGAACACTACTGTGAGCATTCAAAAGAGGTGCAACAATTTGTCACAGTGTACCAGATCTGTTAGTCAGGAAGACAATATTTGGCCTCTAGTCTCATTCAATTTGTCTTGAAACATACAAGTTTACTAGGACTTTAACATAAGGGCATCTGACTATTAGGCTAAATAACAGGTTAGATGAAGATTCTGATCCAATATTGTTTCTTGCTCCAGTCTATTAGTCAGCAGCATAGAATCCCAAGCCCAACCCTCCTAGCTCCTCCATCTTGGATAGATGGTTTGCCAAAATTTGTCTGCCAGAGGTAATAAGAAGAATCAGACTAGTGGGCTCAACCTGCTCCAAGCGCATGCATATATATATATAGGAAAAAAACACTATAGAAATTAGGCCTGGCTTGGATTAGCTGAGACAACCACTTCAGGCAATAGTAGATCTCAGGTTTAGTGTTGAATTAGTCTCTACCTACAAAAAAGAAATTCATCTAGGTGTTCCAGAGTGGACTTAGACTCTGTACTACCAAAAGCAAGGTGACTGCTTGGCTACTACCAGCATACAAAGTGTCCACTATGAGCACTAAAGGGACTCCTGTATTAAGTGTCACCTTGGAAAACCAAGCAGCATACAAACAAGTTGTTGCTGTTCCTCAAAACAGCTCTGGGGGAGAAGATGGAAAAAGGACATAGCAAGTCATCAAGCCTTTTATACTAAAAAACAAAAACAAAAAACAAACTTTAGTTTTTTTTTTTACCCAGGTTTTTTGAACTCCAGAGAAAGCTGAAAGATCTTGTATCTAGGGCAATATGAAGGTCATCTGACCAGGTTACATTCCAGACATCCTGCATACTACCACTAGTAAGGTTCATCTTCTTGAGAGGTTTTCCACTTTCAAGCCAGTAGAGAGATGCCTTCTGCCAGTCTAGAGAGATGTGCCATATGATGCTCTCAGCATGGTAGAGTGTACTTGTGACCATGTCAGCAAGTTTGGTAACTTTAATGTAATTTCTATTACAAGCTAGCCAGTATATGGCTCCAGATGATATATCAACTTTAGCAGAACAGACTGCAGAGAGAATAAGAAAAAAAAATTAGATCTTAGAGGCACAGTCTATTATATTAGATTACGTTCATTTACAAGGAGCAGTCACCCCATACTGTGTGTGCAAAGACTGTTGCATAATAGGATCAAAGACACCCTTTCTTGTTGCAGTCTGAATGGACTCAGAGCTGCCTGTGGCCTTTGGAGCTTTATGTCTGCAAAAAAAAAAAAGAGGACAGCCACTTTTGGTCTCCCTATGGTACCCCCTCAGCTTCAAGTCTGGGTACTACTGTCCCCAAGAGCTCCTTCCCAGCTTCTTGCTTCTCAGTTTTGAGAGGGTCATTCAGAACAGGCTTCACATTAGACATCAACATCATTTGATCCATTAGGCTTTGCAAGCACTTTGTTTATGCTCCTCTAGGATGGGAGTCAGTTTCTCACCTGGTAACCCAACGTGGATAGTTTCTCCTCTTCCTGGGCGCCCAGTGAAGCGTATTAGTGTCCCTTTGTTATCTGTCCAATAAGTGAAGTCTCTCTTCCAGTCCACATCCTGCAGATGGAGGTTTTCCCACTGCTCTTGAACCATTGTCTTGTTGACAGTCAGACCCTTGGGGCCTACTTGCAGGAAGTAGATTTTTTTGCCAGTTGTATATACAAGTGTCAACTCTGCAGAGGTTAATGCCACAAGTTATGCAAAAATAGGGGTGATTAGTCTGTGACCAGGCTGGACTAGTAACAGCCTGGTGTGACTATGACTTTAGCCATGATTATCAGGAGGCTTAGATAAAAAAAGTGAAGGTTAAGCCAGGTCTGTGCCAGTTGCTTTGGAGGTCACCACCCTGTGCATTTGGTTGGCTAATCTGGACATCAGTCCAAGGCAAGATATGATTTTAGAAAGGACTAGGGCAACAGTATATGAAACTGGAGTTGTTTGCCCTTGAGGAGAGAAAGTGAACATGGACTCAAGGAAGAGAGGCCTGCTTAGTTGGCTAGGTCACTCACTTGCTTCTAGATGCAATTGTCACATGGGGTGGGGATACTTCAGGCTGACAGCAAGATCTTGTTTGCTGTCTATGGACAAGTAGAATAAAAGTTTCTGCTGTTATTTTGATGCTACACAAACAGCCCTCTGGGTCCACTTAAGAGTGGCATGATCAGCTGTTAGAGTCCTAGACCCATCAAGCCATATGCAGGGGTTGCACACACCTAAGACCCACATCTTATTATAAGATTGTAGCAGCCTGCAGTAGTATTTTCTAGTGGATACAAGGTCTAGTTTTTAAAGACAGAAATCAGTCTTTTACAGAGCTAATGGCCTGTAGCCTTATAGTGCTTAGAGATTATGACAGAACAGCCTCCTGAAGCATCTCCTTCCTGATCTGAAAGACTAGATAGTCCTGGGAGAGCTTGAAACTACTTGTAGCTCTCAGGCAGTAGTAGTGTTTAGCACAGCTGCTTAGCAGGATTTGCTAAACCTCCCAACAGTTAACTCAGCTTAGAGCCAGACATTTGAGAACAAGAGAAAAAAAGAAAAGCTATTGTGGTTGCTAGTCCATGTAGCACAGCTTAGGCTTCCTACTTTGTCTTTGGAACAGTAAGTAGGCTGAACAAGAACTGCAGCTAGATTCCCAATACCGGCTTCCACCCCTCAGGACAGCAGCTGCCCTGCAGAGCCTGGACTGCTCAAGCCAGGCAACACCCATTCCGAGATGGCTAAGGCAAGCACTCGGGGAAGGGGCCAGGGGGGCATCTCTTATAATACTGGCTGCAGCTGTGGTGCTCAAGGTCAGACAGTCAACCACCACATCATCCATGAATGCCTTTATGGCCCTCCTTTAGGTACTCAAGGAGCTATTGACATTGACCATTCTACCTGTTGCTGGCTTTCTGACCCATGATTCAAATATGAGTGCAGTGATACTCACTTCATGAGCAGCAGCTGCTCAGGCTTCCTAGCTGAAAGTCCATTCAGGGCTACACTTTAAGGCACTTTCCATCTAGTAGTCTCAAAATGGAAGTTACAATAATCCTGCAGGTGAATGGATGCCCAGCTGCTAGGTATGTGGTCATTGAAATAAAGTATGAAAGCCAAAAAAAAAATCACCCAACTGTTGTTAGCTCTTAGATTTGGAAGAGATTGGGCCATATTCTAGTAACTGATAGTGGCTGGTTTCAGGATGAGGCATGTTTAAACCCCCACCCCATGTATTAAGTGACCTACTTTAGAGAGAGTCAAGGACATTCATTTGTGCCTGTGGAGTAAGAGCCACTGTGCATAGCCTCATCTAATCCTACATTAGGCTTTGAATATCAGAACTCCTATGGCTTATCCAGAATGCAGAGGGATATGCTCCATTATCCACAGGACACTGTTCCTATTCTAAAGGGATTTAGCAGGTTAAACTGCTTAAAAAAAAAAAAAAAAAAAAA